TGTGAACAGCTAATGGTGAACTACAATATTGCTACCGTAATTACAGAGGAGAGACTATTGGCCCGGAACTCTCCCCGATAGGTTTATAGTAATAATGACTTATATATTTTAAAACACTGCTAGTTTTCCTTTTATGATAGAACAGCACACACACCTTAAAACGGTTTATTAAGAAATGATTTACAACATTATTGATTAAAGTTCTTACAAGAATTATTATATAACGTGACATCAGCCAATACGGATCGCTTTTATTTCAAAGTGCTTCTGAATCTAGTTTGTTTTTCCATGGTTTTTATTTCATTTAGGATATGCATGATTTAAAATTTCATCATATGCACTCTGCTGTGCAAAGCCTCCAAATTTGAAGAAGTTAACAAATTTCAGTTTTACCAACGTATTGAGGTGTAAAAGGTCCATATTATTGCAGTTCTGTAGATCAGAAGGACGCACACGACTGATCCCAACTGAATTTAGCTCAGTCATAGCAGAATGGTGGAAATGATAAAGTAAACAGGTATGCTTAATTCACAACGAAAGTGACCTCAAAACTTAACCTTAATATATAAACCTCTTAAATAGGCGAAGTAATTGTGTTTACCCATTTTTTTTAGAACATATAGCTGTAGACGACAGATGACTTGGGTCACGAGCTTTTGCTGACATTCCCAAGTAGAAGAGTGATACCACGAAGGGTAAACCGAGACAAAGACAACTTATCTCTAGCTTATCAAACTATTACAGAACGATGACAATAATAGGGTTTGATGTGGGGACAGCATAAAACAATAGCATCGTTTTAAAAGCAATTCATGTCTGAGAGAAAGGCAAGTCGAGGGTTCCCTAAGGAAAGGCGGCGATTTGTCTGCGTCGTCTGATGATTTCGCCATGGACCTGTCTATTGTTTATTAACATTATAAAACGTCATTCTGCGATTGATAATGTGACAAATCCCATTTATATAACAGGTTTCCTTCAGCTAAAACGGTGACTGTAACTAAATATGCCACGTACAAGCGGAATGAAAAGGACGCTGGGTCGCTGGCCACCAGGGAGCTCTGCTATCGGTATCACGGTTATTAGCAATCACTCGAGAGGGGACATCAAGGGAGATAAGAGAGCATTTTGTATTTAGTTTTACATAATGTATTTGCAATAAAACAAATTGATTTTACTATCCATTTAAAGTCTCATTTTTGCCACTAGATATTCAATAATACTCTGGAAATTGGCAGTGCACGAAGACTTATGTCGTGAAAAAGGAATTAAGTCCTTATGGAATGGGAGGATAGATGAAGATAGAGGGCGGCACCTGATAGGAAGGCTGTGTGACGTAGAGGCGCGCAGCACCCTCTGGTGTTGGTCAGATATCACACACAACGAGGCGAATCATTGCCGGCTTGCGATGTCTATCGAACGGCGGTGATTACATTACGGAGCTTGAGCTCGACAACCAGAAAGTATCATAATAATTACTAATAACGTCAGCCATATAATACTATCTAACACTGTGGGTACATGCAGAGGAATGCAAGTCTGTGTTACCATCAAATATTGAATTTGCATGCGAAACGATGAGCATCAAGGGAGCTGCAAATAAACTACATACGGATTCCTATAATGTAAATAAAACTTACACACTTTTTTTGGGGGCTTAAATGAACCATATTGTTAGTCATTAAATAAAACTGTAAACAACAAAAAAAGGGAAGTTTAAATGTATACAAAAGACTAGAACGAAATCTAAGGAGACAGCAAAACAAAAGGAAAGACATCAGAACACTTAGAAAAATAGAAACGAAGCGAAATCGGTGATGAAGCTGGAACAATTTTTTTCTACCACCTAGTGTGGCATCCGTCATGATGCATCTCAGGAAAGTATGTGAATGATATAATATTTTCTAACAGTAAATTAATCCTTAGACTCTGACTGTATTTTTCTAGCGCTTCATTCCCCTTTTTTTTTATTAAAGTAACGTTTCCATGAAATTCTCAATATGGTATAGAGTATTGTACAAATTGCAAGTAGGCGTGCTTATAATGTGATATTTTACTTAGAAGACTGTGGCGTGGAGCTTTCTATTTTTACAAGGACATACTTAGGCATTCCCATTATTTACAGTAATAAATATCAAACAAAGAAAATGTTAACACAATAGTATTGATGAATTTGTCACCATTTTACCAGACGATGTCTAGAAAACTATCAACGGCCATTGATGTTTATATCAAACAATCTGTCAATTCTTTCCGATTTCTCTTCATCTAAGAAGACATATGTTCTTTATAGTAATCATGTCATTGATGATGATAAAGATCGGTGTTTAATGTAAACATAACAAGAATTGTTCGATAATATTCCACGTAAGTGAAAAATGCAACACAATAGTCAATGGCCGGTGTCATGGGCGGATATGGATATATCCTTACTAAAATCAAAAGCAAATTAACAAGTGGTTGGTGATAATCGGAAATGCTCTCTGCATTATAAAATCCTATAATGTCTCAAACCTATATATGCTTTATAGAGAAGGCATACAACGACATATGATTGCCTACAAATGTTCTTAAGCTAATCTAAGTGATCGAGAAAGTAAACTATACTAGAGTATAAAAAGAAAATATACCATTAATCATCGGTACTGCATTTATTTGGTTTCTTCAATAGCAAGAAAAGTAAATAAAGGAGATGTGACGTCATGTCAATTATCGCAGTTTTACATTTTTTCCGATAGCTATGCAATGGACTGAGAGCAATGAAACCATCGGTACTGTGTTTATTTTGTTTCTTCAATAGCAAGAAAAGTAAATAAAGGAGATGTGACGTCATGTCATCTATCGCAGTTTTACATTTTTTCCGATAGATATGCAATGGGCTGGAAGCAATGAAACCATCGGTACTGTATTTATTTTGTTCCTCAATAGCAAGAAAAGTAAATAAAGATGTGACGTCATGTCATCTATCGCAGTTTTACATTTTTTCCGATAGATATGCAATGGGCTGGGAGCAATGAAACCAATAATGTATTGTAGCATTGATAGAAAGGAATGCTAGCGTTATCCATGTTTAATCATGAAAGAGACTTATACAAACCCTTCTATGCGTAGCCGGAAACAGTAAATGATCACTTTGCATTCCTACATAAATGTTATAAGTATTACCTATATTGATCACCAGTTAGTAATAAATATGTGTCGTGCTTGGGTAATTAATTATAGTATGTAAAAATCAGTGTTAAACTCACTTCATTACATCGAAATGTACCTGAGGTCTATATTATGTAGGTATTAGCAGTAATCTGTTGATATTATTTATTGATAACCAACTCTCTAGTGAGGTTACATGCCGTAGTCAATTTTCAAATTGAAGGGGAATATCGTTGGTTTATATGAATAGTAAATATGGATATTTCATTCTTTTGGCTGCAAGTAGCACTGATGAGTCTTAAATGGACGAAATGGAGATATGGTGCAATATAATGTTTACTTTGCTAAGTGCTCTGCATTAACAAATATAATTTTATACATGTGCTTGATTTCTTCGTATTCATAGTGATTGTTATACGGTCTTTATGCATGTTATCAACAATATACGTGTACATTTGTAAAGTTGTATGGTGTGTTGACGCTTAAGTATTTTCTGTTCTCTTTTACGTATGAAACCCAGTTCTTCCATTCACGATTATTTCACACAGTAAGAATTTATCAGATTCAATAATTCTTTGTACTTTTCCAATATATACTGATTGAATTTGGCTTTTAGGATACAATAATTTTGTCCAGAAAGATAATGTACCATGAATTTGCTTTCAGCTATAGATGTAAGCGTTTCTCCTTATCACATAATGATGTGCATTCTTTTTTCATTACATAAAACCCAGAAATAGTTCAATCTGACACGACACTCTAACAGTTCTCTACAGGACGAAACGCGCTACTCTTCTAAGTGTTTTTATTTAGCTGAGAACAAAATATTTGCATGCATTGTTAAATGCTGCAACAGATTTCCAGCAAGTAATTATCTGTCCAATGTCTCAATTATGTTTACATTTATGCTAAACTAATGTTACAAAATAAGTTATAAACATAATCTAGAAAGTAAGCAAACAATAGGTAAATGATAAAATATTATTATTTCAAATGATACAACTTTTCAGTACATATAATAATAATTATGTTTGTTGGCTAAATGTATCAAATTTTATGGTGATAATAAATCGGTTAATATCTTAAATGGAAAACAACACTTTTACAGTAAACTGCTCATCTGTAAAGCAGCACTTCCATATCTATCACCCACCCGATCAAAAACAAACGATATTAAACAAAAAACAGAGAACCATCCTCATTATATATTTGATGTCAATGATTATTTACATTACTTGCTCGTGTTTCAAGTTATTTATAAGCGTTCCGAGCTATTTTTGTGTAACGTAAACCTTGCTGCACAGATTCCCTACGAATGCCATAACATTATTTTTTCATTATATTTTTGTCCTATTGTCAATGTAGAAAATTAATTGTTCACATTGACGCCTAATAAGAATATTTCAGATCTAGTATTAACAAAGTATTCGGAAAAAATAACGTTAATCTTTTTTAAATTAACGACTGATTTTGAGGGTGTATATAAACTTATAACAGATTTATAATGAACTTGCTTGGTAAAAACATTTGATAGTGATAGTCTGTAAAACATGTCTGTTTTGTCGACCGTTTTACTGTATTTCAAGTTTTCACATAACTGTGCAATGTCGTTTAAAAACCTATGATTGTCAATGCTATACAAAGGTCACTATTATTCAATAGAATGAATCCTGGCTGATACTGTCTTAAATATAATCCAAGTATACTACTGTAAACCATCATCTATACATGATAAATTAGGACTGCCAGGTATTGTATAATTTTTTGTTGTCTTAAGATAACGTTTTTATATTCGTTTCATTTCCTTTTGCTTGTAAAACAAAGTATGTTACAAATCATAAAATAAATCCTGATGATTTCTAATCACTGTTTTATTGTATTTATGACAATTAGACAAAACATTGAGATATTTAAAACGACACACCTACGGTAATCATCTCAAAGACAACAACATATACATCTGGGTCAACAACACGTGACTACCTTCACTGGCACCGGAATTGTTCTCTTCTCTTACTACACATTATATATATAGTCTTTGCTAGAATTAAAATATGCCAACAATAACTAGTCATGACAAAACATTGACTAGGTAACATACAGCATCTCTAGTTCACGTTCTGGCGCCCGCGCTAAAATACAGCACTCATCAAACATTGATGCATCTGTCCTTAGGCATCGCACTGTACTGAATCACATTGTCACTACAATAGGTGCGCGTCGTAATCCAGTCTGTAACCCTACTAATGCGCTGACTTAATTCCACTAATGTCCAATTGTCGACGCAGTACCCTGTTACAAAACAAATCCTCGTCCGTCTAATGGAGTGCTTAGGTAGTGATGTACGAACACCTCCGGTACATGCACATACGTTATAATCAAATATTTAAATAGTAATTTTGGATGTTTGTTTTGGCTCTCTGTCGTCTCCATATCATCTTGGTGAAATAAGACCGTCCTCAGTTACACGCTCATGTGATTCTAATGAAACGTTGTCGTTTTGTACAACAGAATTAGAACTACTATTTGAGCTTTCATTTTCTAGTGTGGCACCATTGTCTTTCTTGTCGATCACGTGATCTCCATCGTTAGCGTCATTATGTTCACAATGAGAATTATCATCACTAGAAACACTTTCATTTTCTTCTCTCTGAAGAGGACTCGACGTGCTGAAATCGTCGTCTACACAAATCGTCATATCTTCGCCTAAATCATCGTCGTTATTATCATCTCCACTGTCGTTTTCTGATATCCGGGCCTTTTGTGCCTCTGACGTAATAGTGGATTTTGGTTTGGATCCAGAATGACCTTGTTTTGTGGCTTCGTCTTCGCGCTTCACTTTCCGCCATTTTGCTCTTCGGTTCTTAAACCAAACCTTTAGAAACAAAATCATAAAAACCATTGACATGAATAATTCCAAAATTTCAAGAAAATATTTAGGTAATAAATAATAAAAGCATACTAACAGTATATTAAAATTCATATCTGTCATTGATAGAATCTATCACGGGGGATTGCATTCGAATTAGGGAGATTTTATGCTTTGAGATATTTCAGTTATGATTCCCAAATCTCTTTTATCCGCACTTTAGTCATTAGCAATAGAAATATATCCATTAATATTTCATGGATTTGCGTGGTATGCGTGACTGTGTCGATAACATTAGAAGTATGAAATAATGGACGCCCCTAGACACGTGGTGTTTGCTATAGCAACTCCTCAACACATGTCGGATCATCGCTCGAAATTATGAATGATTGGATGGCGGAATCCAATTTATTGTATGCAATCTTATCTAAATTCAGTGGTAATGTATTCAGCCCATCAAAGATATTGTTTAGTAAAAACATCGAAATCCAGATAGATCCCTTATATCCATTTTATACAATTTGAAATTCGATCAAGTTTTATTTGAACTGTCAGTATGATAAAAGATTAGCAATATTTCAACGGAATGAGCACAATACATTAACCAATATTATGGTAATTGGTGACATTGATCCCTGACCATCTATATCTATGGAACTATATCAACCTATTCATATGGATAATCCTCATTTAACTTGATACAAAGTCGTCATCCATTGTCGGTTAAAGGGTCTGTCAGACGGTGTTTCATTGATATCCAAACAATGGCAACCAGTTTCAATACTGAGTTTAGGTCTGGTTAGTATAGAAACAATTTCAGAGGATACCAATATTCTATGATAAGCTGACCAGTCGTGTGTATCATTGCAGACTGGTGAGCAAATGTCACATACCGATTAAATGGTAAAATGATCCTAACCTTTCACGGTTATAAACTGTAATGGAACAATGTTATATTGAGAATTAGAAATACATTTAAAAACTATTTATTTTGATAAACTTTATGAATGTTTTTTTTATATATATGAAGAGCGTATTAAGGATGCTAAGCAAGGACATATGTTACTTTTAAATGCAACTCAGAAGACAGCATGATTCGTGGGAATAGACTGATTTGAATCAAGCGTTAACAAGAAATGTTCCTCAAAGTAACCATAAAGCGCAAACAGGAAATGTTCAGACATTAACGCTTTGAACATCAAAGGTTTACATTATTTCAACAAGAGAGACACTTTTCCCAATTGATAAGGAGCATGCAAAGATGGTTGCAGTTCCGAATTGCACTTCCGGTAGAAATTAAGTTGTGCATAACATGTAAGGTGAACGTCATAACAATTTTCATTTACATATATTTTGCTATAAATGCCGTTATTTTATTGGAAAAACACGTTGTCGTTACTGATGTAGCAAGTGTTCTTTAAGGATACGTCTCCTGCACGAAGGTTTCAGTAATTATCCAATTTTAAGACGTGTACATGGCTGGGCGATTGAATAGAGTGTCTTTGATGCTCACATCTTAATGCCACACGTTTTATACCCGACTCATTTTCCTGTTTGTCTTCATAATGATTTGATTTTGTGTTTTCTAGAATTTAAATGATACCAATTACAAAGAATAACAGCATATGCGATAAATAATGGGTAATTTTGGAAACATACCATACGAAACGCAGTCACGTGCGAGTTTACCGAAAATCGTTTAATAATAATCTGTGTTATTTATATAGTCTGATTACATCCATTTTCTAAATAAAATCCCAAGTATGAAACTTTACACGCGTTATACACACGGTAGCATTGTTTCTTCTGTTATATATTCCATACTTTATTAGACATAGATGTTCACATTCAGTTAAAGATACAGCTGGACGCACCGGTATTTCTTAAACATCACGAGACTCCACCAATGCATGGTATATATTGACTCCCACGGTATTTGAAAGTCAATATGCAAAGAGTATTTCACACATTGGCTGATTCTTCAGTAGATAGCCTTAGAAAGACCTTCCATTCAAATTAATATATTCCTAGGTGCAGATATAACGAGAGGTGGTGTCGGCTTTCTCCGCTATCTGAGATATGCGGCGAGCAGGACACACAGGGGTAAGCCTGGCCTGGGCAGCAATAACTACAACATTTGTCACAGCCAATGATCACAGGCAGACGACAGTTCCCGCAAATAAAAAATCTGAACGAGATTCAACGAGATGTCCGTGAGATTCTGATCTGTATCGCTTAGATGTTTTCCGCAGATAGCCAATCTAGTAACGGTTTGACACACTCGACATTTGCCCTGTCCTATCTCAGATACCCACGATACATCACACAAGCGCTTTAATGAAATTGAAATAATATCAATGTTTTAAAGACTTCATCTACAGAATTGTATGTTGTAATACTAACTTCAACTGGCGTATCTAATTGACCATATTGGTATGACGCTAATCAAGGAACACACGAACACGCAGACAAGCAAGCACATTGTTTGGTCTTCCTCTAAATGAATCACTAGCCAAGCCATATTACTTTATGATTGTCTGTCTTTGATAATCAACCATTGCAAATCGTGGTACACTATGCACCAGGGAATAAGGAAGTTGGTCTAATTAGAAAATCACAACAGACAAGAGTTTATATGAGCTGAAAACAAACAAAAAACATCTTTAGATGACACTACGTTTTCCAAAAAATTGAATGTCGGCTCAAACATGTAATGACAGTTTTAAATTCAATATATATATTTGTTGAAACTACCATGAAAAAGGGTAGTGCACTTATAAATCGTTCCTGGCGAATCAAAAGATAAAAAAAGTATTTACGCTCTTCATGTCAATCTTGCAAATTATTTTTCCGAATATTTTTAAATATGGTGGTCACACTTTGTATTTCTCATTCAATGAAGATATACTGATTCTTTATAGAGAGAAAATCTGGATAGGGGAAATGTCAAAATGCCATAACCGTATTCAATCTTACTTCCAACACAAAGTGATAATTCTTTTACAGGAACGCATGTTTCAACACAGAGAACCAATGGCATTGATTATCAAGATATACTAAACCAATAGACTTCCAACATACATGAAACAGACGACAAGTGTTCCTCGCACAACATTAGGATATGATAAGTCGTTTGGTAGTAAGACCCTTATCTACAAAAGCATCAAAATCTTTTTGAAATTACGAAATTGAAGACGACAATATTTGCGTATAATTCTTTAAACAATGATATTGCATTATGTCAGAAAGCAATGCACGCACAAACGATAGCAGTTGATCAGATAAATAGGTTAGCTCTACCGGGACATTCTCTGTAAGCAGGTTAGTTCCTTGGTGATATTTGTGGGAAATCCCTTCCATAGTTCTTATCTTTTCGATAATCTTATAGAAGACTCAGACTGAAATCCAACTAAGGTAGCAGGAGGAATCTCCTCCGATGCTAATCGGTTCGCACCATACCTCTCCGGGCGGGAGTGGCGGGTAAACATTGGCTTCAGATGCTGGAGGGAGGATGAATGCATTGTCTGTGGTATTACATATGTATTGATTGGGTTGCTATCTAACATGTATACAAGAAAATGTTTTTAGTTAGCTTGTCATCACTGACAGACAAATTAGTATGTATATTGATAGCTTGTGATAGTCTAACTAAATTAAACTAATTGTTTAGTTCCAAGACGAAATAATCATCCTGCTCGGCATATTATCATATCTGCGTATGAATGATCGAGATGAAACATTGTTTAAGCATATTTGTTTGTCGATGTCTTCCAGAGTCTGTGATATAAGTATTTATTTCAAATTCAACTTATTTTGGGTATGAAAATAGCGAATCTAGAAAATAAAATATTGCATGATCTCAAACCCATATTCATTTTAACCGTATTTTTTTGTATCTTATTTTTTAAACGAATGCACGAATATAACGCTTTTTAGGAACGACATTAATACGTTAAAGGTTATAGAAGCAAAGTAAGACAGGATTTTGCAATGATAGTTGCATCTACATATAAAATATATAAAAGTTTTGATTACATTACATAAAAAATGTGGAAATCTGTTAGAAGATAAAATGATGCTTTCTTTTTCTTTTGTTCATTTTTGTATTGATACAATGTTTTAAATTAAATAAAGTCTTTAAATAGCACTGCTTGTAACTCGGGATTTTTACGGTAGAGATAGCCTTGCCATTTAAGATAAAAAAAAAAATAAAAAAAATGAACATATCGAAAGATAAATAAAATGAAATAATTGCAAGCGGAACAACCTATCTCATACATGCGCAACTAATTGTTTGAAACTAGCATTTTACAGAAGATATCTTTTTCTGTTTCTGGCTTTGTGCATTTAAAATGAATGTGATGTTTAATAATATAATTATTAGCATATGATTTCTTCATCACGTGTTTTATCGCATCTAAAACTACCTTGCCAGGCTACTATTTCAACGGTTTAACGATTTCAATTATATGTGAAATGTTTCTACTGGATTGTCTATAATCTTATTTATCATATGCCTGAGTATTAAAACTTTATCAAAAGACATTTAAATCAATGCTTGAGTAAATACTTTTCCGTTTTGCAACGGTGATCACTCATCGTTTATGCTAATAATTTTAAAATGGTATATGACCCGATTTTCATTCTACTAGCAACGAAATACTAATGCCAGCTGGGTTTTTTTATATCCTTATTTTTTATATTCTTATACCCAGACAAATGTGACCTCTAATCATTTTATAGAAACTATTAAGGCAAAATTTAATCAAATGTATGTGTTCTTTCGTGATCTGTAATTTTTCTCTGATCAAAAATTAATAAAAAGTTTGTTAATATATTTTGTATTCATCTCAATCTTGAAAACAAAGTTAAACATTTGATGATTTTGCTTTATGTGGAAAATAAAAATCAGGCCAATGTGACTTATATCTGCTCTCGAGATATTATAACGAAAATTTATAGAAAGGTACATTTGAAGAAGTGGAGAAATTATATAGGTATACATG